CGCTTCAGGTGAACTCCCCAATTGTTGCTTTAATTACGCAGCAAAATTATTCATATGTGAAAATCTACTGTGAACTAATTATAGGTCGTATCTAGCAAGTTGGTGGGCGGAGATCTAAGCCAGCTACAGGATCTAGTGACACCCGAGGCCATAGCCGAACTAAAGCCCGTCGTGCAGAAGCTGTCCATGACGCAGCGCAAACAGCTGGAGATCCACGAGAGCGACATCTATTTGTCGTTTCCCTATCAGATTGGCATCATGTTCGATGATGCGAACGATAAGCTGCAAAAGCGTTGGGTCGAGATCACAATGGTGTTTCATGTGATGCGTGGCCTGACCGAAATGCGTGAGCGCGGCGAGGAGATACCCTGGAATATGGGGTGAGCGAAAGAGTTAACAATTAGATCTCTCTCTGTTTCTATAAGCTCGGACTTTCTTGATCTACTTGTAGCACAATGCCAGAATATCAGGATCGCGTCTTCATTTGTAATTATCGCTTTAAAAAAGAGTTTACAGCCGGACACCAATCAGACTGGACGATCAATGTGGCCAATCATTTCAGGGCCATTGATCTAATTAATGAATCGAAATAGCAGCTGGCTTCCTAACTCAGACTCTTAGAAATCGTAGAAAAACCTATTGTATCAGATATAGTTCCCGGAAGTTAGCCTATTCACATTTCGGATGAATTTTGGAATAAAATTTGCATTGCAAGTGTTTAGGTATGAGCAAAACAAAAAACAATTCAGATCATTTAAAGTTTTATCATTTTTGTTTTGTTTTTGTTTTTCTTTTGTATCTTAATATCTGGTTATTATGTAGTTTAAATAACGAGTATGTGTTTAGATGACAATACAAATTGATTTGATTTGATGTTCATTTTTTGTTGTTGTACGTCATTTTAATTCGCCTTAACGTGCTTCTCGTACTTGGCCCTGTAGATGCCCTTTGAATCGTACTTGTCGAGGAGCTCGTCCCATTCTTTAGCCTTGTTAATCCGCAGATAATTGATCACCTTGTTGGAGTTGCGACGCTGCACGTCGGTACACTTGGAGCACTCCGACTCGAGGGCATCGGGCAGCAGTTTCTTCAGCTCGCGTCCTTCGGCCGTGCATGGTCCCTTGTCCATCAGGCACTTGATGTAGGCGGTCAAGATGCGATTATTGGTCAGCACTTCGTCCACATTGACATTATCGAATTTGTTAGTGTATTTCTTCTCGGGCCTAGCCAAGGCGAGGGCGGCGAACAATCCCAACAGCAATATGACCAGCGATGCCTTCATCTTGTCTCAAGAACTGTAGAACAAAGAGAGAGAGAGAGAGAGAGAGGAAGAAAACGTTTCCATTAAAATGTGAGTAATTGCAAAACAAATATATGAACAGCTATTCAAATACTATTTGTGGTAATATTATTTGTCCCAAATAAATAATCTGAGGCGTCATCTAGTCTGCTCTGCTGTGTAAAAGGGGCTAGCAACGCGCCAGAGCTTTGAGAATGAATCGTTCGATTCATTTCTGGGCTAAGTTCGTTTCATGCATTATTAATGCCTCTTGGCATATATATGGCACATGCATACTAATTAATGATTTAGTTTTAGTAATAACAACAGATTTCACAATTTTCGGACCACGTCACTTCAAGCTCTTTTTCAAAGTGGATTAAGTTCGCTGTTCGCCCTCTTTTTTTTTTTTTCATTTAGCTAAAACCACTTTTGTACCGTTGTTCGCAAGTGTTGCCAATATGTTTACGCAATAGACCAAGCATCGATGCCGAATGGACAGCTGCAATGCCTGCGTCGCTCGCCGCTGCTTCCCTCTCTCTCACTCAGCGTCTTATTTTAGCTGCTATTCAAAACGGATTATATTCGCTTTGCGTCTTGTTTTTTTTTTTGCTGCTACGTTTCTACTGTCGTTTTGTGCACGCAAGTGCTGCCAATCGATAGCAATTTACAGTTGCCAAAGCACAAGACAGCAAAGCGCACGCGTAGCCTGCATCGCTCACTCACTCAGTTCCTCTCTCGCTCTCTTGTTGTCAAATAATGTTTGCTTACCGTTTCGTGTTGTTGCTGCTGCCGAACTGCGAGCTGTTGGTGGATTTTCTCTTGTGTCTGTTGCGTACGACAGCACAGCTTTGATTGCCAAGCTGTTAGCCTGTTTAGCCGACTTTTATAGTAAGGAGCGCGGTTGGCACGGCCAAAAGCTTTCGCACATTCGCTTGGCCACTCGACTGACGGTGGCGCTGCCGTCGGCGTCGGCCTGGGCGGCAGTTCCACCAGTCAAAGGTCTTTCGTGCAGCCAAATTGAACCGGATTTTTAGTTTTCACCCGAATTTTAAGCCAGCCAAGCAATTCGCCGCGTACTTGGGATGTACGCAAGCTTTACATTGTTTTTGTTTTTTTTTTTTTTTCTGGACTTGACGCCGACGCTGACGTCTTAAATGTAAATGTGGCCTCGCCGCCTCTCGTCTCTTCTCTTCTGTTCGACGCATTCGCCACCTTCGCCGCACTTTGGCGCTGTCACAGCTGTTTGTTTAGCTTGTTAGTGCCTTGCACGTTTCGCCCCGTGCGCTGAGACGAAATTCATAGGAAAAACATGCAAAGTACTTATGTGAAAAACTCAAAGGTGTTGTTGCTGTTGATCTTTTACGATCATGTTTATTATGTTGTAATCACTTTTATGCATTTCCCCCATTTCATTTACATTATCTGCAGCATTTAATCGAAGTATGTATGTGTGTGTGTGTTTTTGTTTGTGTCTCTCTCTCTCTCTATCTAGGCCCAGCCAGATTTCGAAAGCTCAACTGGTCTCGATTTTGTATCTTTGTTTTTATTTTTGCGGCAAATCGAACTGGGATTTACCGCCATAAACGAGGCGATGTCTTGCGCTCAGTTTCTGTTCAATCTGTTGCATGGTAGACTTTTCCACAGTCAAATCAGAGCTGATAATTATTGTTGTGTTGTTGTTGTTGTTGTTGTTATATTTTTATAAATAATTTTTATTTCATTTTTAATTTCTGTCAACTTGGGGTCTACAATAATGAGCCATTAAATCCATGTACATATATTTATAATTCTAGAGCTAGGTTTTATTATTATTATTATTCCTGTATATATATTTTTTTTGTTTAATGGGAATGACTCGAGCTTCTCGCACGAGTATCTCGTTTGTCTTGCCTGCTTACGTACAGTTCAATGGGTCAATTCTACTTATTTACTTAAGGCTCGTGGCTGGCTGGCTTTTTAGCCCGCTGTCTCTAATAAAAGCCAATAAATCACTGTGATATAACTTTTATGTTAATTAGTGTGCAATTATGCAAAGTTCAGCTGATTTATCACATTATCATTAAATTTAACAATCTTTCATTTCATTTTGTTTGTCGTATCTGGCGACTTACAAAATCATCTCTAGGGCGGTCGACAAATGTTGGGACACATTTAACTGCCAGCAGTTAAGTGCCCTTAGGCTACAATATATACATATGTATGTATGTATGTATGTACATAGAGCATAATATATACGGAAATCTGATACTTCTAGGAACATGTTGTAATTAAATGTTGTAATTAAAAAATAAACTGATCTCTAAAAGTTTTTAGATGGCATGTAAACATTTACATATATAAAGCAATAAGTAGTTTATATTTCTTCTTTTGGCCAGAAGTCTACAAATTCATATAGCGGAAGAAAAATATTCCTTCCAACTATATTCTCAGAGAAAAAAAGATTACCTTACATTATATTTTTATATCTAAATCATTTTCTCAATTAAAATCTTTTAATATCTCTTATAGAACTTTCCTAAAAACAAATCTTAGTCGGAGTTGACAAAACGCTTCTGGTTTGCTAAAAAGCTCTCTCTAAAGTACTTTACGGTATACCAATTAGTCAAAGTGAACATGTGATCTTGGCTGCTCTGATCTTTTTAGATATTTTAGCTTTCATATATACGTATCGCTTACGTATGTATATCTGTATATATATAATAGAAATAAGTCGACTATACCAAGACTTACTGATCTTTCCAGTTCTATATAATTGTATGTACATTCATTCACATTCATTTCATTTTCACAATATTTCCATATATAATCTTTCAAGATCTTTAAGATTCTACTTATGATTATGAGCAATAATTTCCATACAAAGCAGAACGAAATTCGCATCTCTCCAATTGGAAACATTTTTCTGATCAGAAATCGACGCCTCACATTCTTTCAGAAAACATAATGCATATAAAGAAATATTGTTTTGACAATATTCTGCTCACGTTTCTCAACACTTGCATTACAAACACGCACACACACACACACACGCACAGGCAGAGCTGTGTGTGAATCGTTGACCAATTGCCACATGGGTGTTACAGCTGTCATGATCGGTTTTAGCTTATGCAAATGGAAAGTACCCAGGCCAGAGGAAAGGTAAACAGTCGAACTCATGGCGATCACGATGACAGCGTCCCAATCAAAAGTAGGCGTGGTAGGGGCAACGGGCAACGGGCAAGCAAGGGCTGCTTGCCTTGAAAGCCCAGCCAGTGGCGGCAGCATGTGCAAAAGTTCAGGTTCAGGAAGGTAAGCCAAAACAGAAAACAAACAGTAAAGCAGAAGACAGAAAGAGAGACACAAAACAGAGATAAACAAAAAACCTGACGCAGCAAAGTAGCAGCAGCAGCAGCAGCAGCAGCAGTAACAACATCAACCGACGAAGCTTCAATAAAGGTAAATAAATCTGGGGACAGATCTTAAGTGTGATACGTGCGCAGGTTTTCATTGCCAAGCATGGTGCCAGGTGCAGGTGTGCGTCTGTCTATGACTTCACTGTGATCATGACTGAGCCTAGGAATCAAACAAACTGCGGCGAGCTCAAAGCCAAGTCATAACAAACCCCAGGGCCTTTGGGGGCATCGCTTCCCTCTGGCCATGTCAATCTGGCGCGATTTGACACAAAAGGTGAAATGAGGGGCGAATTCATGTTGTGCAATTACGCATGTCAGCATTATCATTAGCATTATCATTGTTATTGTGATTCTGTGAATTGGCGCTGCTGATAAGCGCAGGCCATGCGGAGGTGTAATGCGCGTTGCTTAAACCTAAATACATACAACTAAACACAAACTAAAGCTCTGGCAAGTGTGGCGTATCTATAAGATACAAATATGCGCAAGTGCGACTATTTGAGAGACAGCTCAGTGGTCAGCTTGGGCTCATGCTGCGGCCTAGGATTCAGTATCGTCTCCAGCTGCACAACGGGTGCGCCGCACAGCTTGCGGTAGAGCTCGCCGTAGCTGCGACTCCTGCTGCAGCGCCTGGCCAAGCTGAGCACGCACCACAGCGCGCAGAGCAGCTGCAAGGCCATCAGGTAGGGCTGCAGATGCGGCAGCCAGTTGACATTGAAGCGCATTATGTAGAGCACATGAGTGGGTAAGTGATCCATGTCCTGGGTAGAGTAAAGAGTACAGTTAAACGAGGGACACCAATAGCTAGCAGCACACTTACGAACTCATACCAGAAGCCGGGCACAATCATGTTGCTCAGCTTGGTCAGCTTGCGGCTGTAGCTGCTAAAGTCCGGCAGCGGGGTGTTGGACTGAAAGCGATACTTCTCATTGATGGGTATGCCCGTGTTGGGCTCCAGCAGTATGAAGGGCTCGTGCTGCTCGGCATTGGGGCTGAGGCCCTCGAAGTGCTGGCGCCAATCGTAGCTGGAGCCATAGAAATGTGGCATGGAGAAGGCCGAAGGAGCATCATCTATGCGGGATATAGAGAGATGAATGAGAGATTGAGAGATGAGTCTCTGCGAGTGCCTCTAGCTGGTTCATCCATTCATCACTTACTTATCACACACTTGGACACGTCGAACATGCCGCGCGGCAGCTTCACGCCGTAGGTGCTATCCATGCACTTGGGCGCCGTCTCGTTGGCCTGGAGTAGCGTAAAGCGGAACGAGTTCAGGCCATCGTGCTCCTGATCTCGCTGATAGCGCAGGGGCAGCACGCGGCAGGATTCGGTCGCCAGGATGCTAAGCGATGAGTTCCGTTCCAGGAAGAGCGGATAGAGCGAGTTGTCCAGGCTGTCCGCCACATAGATGGGACAGTTGTCGCCCAGATTTCGGGGATTGTCCTTCACACGCTCCTGGATGCGCAGCTCGCCATTGAGACTTTGTATGCGAAAGAAGTTCTCCATGCCCACCTCAGTGCCAATGTTCACCGTGTAGATCTCCTCCTTCTCCTTGAGAGCCTGCCAAGGGATAGGTGTGAGCTAGGAACTGGGGAATACACTGTCTGACTACTCACATTGTAGAGCGTGCCACAGTTGGTGGCCAGCGGCAACATTTTGCCAAAAAGCTCCAGCGTGGGTCGAGTGAACTCCCACAGGAAATAGTAGACGCTGCCGGTCATGAACACCTGCTCGCCCAGGGTCAGCGCATTGAAGCCCATCGAGGTGAAGGGTATCTGGCAGTACTTGGCAGCGGCGCCCAGCAGGAAGCTATTGAACTGCACAATCGTCTTGTTGAGGATGTCCGGCGAGACGCTCTCCTCGGGCACGAACTGAATGTGGCGATAGCGATGCTTGCGATAGGTCACACTGTTCTCGGTGCGATTGAGGATGTTGTTGTAGCCCACAATCTTATAGACAATCGGGCCGATCTGTTGCAGCTTGATCCTGGCATCGCGTCCACTCAGAAACTCCGGTCCATTGGTCACATTGAACAGGTAGCTCTTCAGCTTGCCAAACGGCGAATTCACCCAACTGTCCATGGTGGGCATCTCGTCCCGGAAACGCACCTGCTCCTGGGCCGCGGCATACTGATAGTTGATGCCGCACGAGATCACAAACAAATAGATATTCAGCAGGCCGAACAATGCAATTGCCACAATTTTCAGCCAGAAGCAAGTGTGGCCCATGGCTGACGATGATGCACTGCCTCCACTCAAAACGGGAGACTGGGAGCTGGATGGGCTGTCCGATTCGATTGCTGTGCGTCTGCGTTCTTCAAATCACGCGATTCGTTTGATTTCAGCAACTAAACGCTATTTCGAGTCTCCATTGAATTTTAAATACAAATTTGTATTTTTTTACAGAATCGGTCTTATCGCGACGTCCCTTCCTCATCTTAGGCCTGTTTGAAAACGAAACGAAACGAAACTAAACTAAAAATGTGATTACAAATAAAAGCAAATCAAGTAAAAGTGAAGGAAATGTGAGAGATTAGCTGGACTACAGAGACACCCTATGTGAGTAGAATTTTATTAGAGCTAAGCGTGGGGAATGAATCTAAGGGAGAACTTATAAGCAGATGGCTCTATTTGAGAATATGAAGTACAAATAGGCGTTGTATAGACAGGTTTAACGCTTTAGACCTGGCTTATATGGTAATCAAAGATTTGAGATCTTTAACTAATAATGTTGAATTGATGTTATTGAAGTTTGAGCAGAATATTTAGATTGGGAAGTGAAAATAAGTTGCCTAAATGATCGAGAAATTGAGAAAACTTAACAAGAATAAAAATTCACGCCTAAGAGGATAGCGTAAGTATAAAATAAAGCCCTAAGGACTTCAATTGCATCCTAAATAATATTTTAAGATATGCTCTTATTCTATACAGATGTATTATGAGTATAAGGTATATTAGAATATAAGGCATACAGGTATAAGGTATATAAGTTTGTATATCCTTGAATAAGAGTAACTATATATAGAAGCATAACTGATAACATTATATATATAATACTGCTACAACAAACATCCTAGGGATTCATTAACAGATTTGCTATCAAATTGAATTTCATTTAGCTTCAACTACATACATAACGAAATCACTTTCTAATTGCTTCTAGTTTCTATAAATTTATGCTAAACTAGTCTAATTTCCATCCATTAAACCATCCATTTGAGTTCAGCCGGCTACAGGGTATCATCATAGCAGAGAGGCTATCAGCTGGCAAAGGCCAAACACGCTCTGCTGGCGGCTGTTGTCGCAATTGCAAGAGATAAGCCCTCAACTTGTGACCCGAAGAAACATCGAATTTACGCAAATCGTAATTTAAATTTATGTTCGTTCAGATTAATGTTTTATGGAACTGCTCCCAATTGGCATCTGCAGTCAGCTGCGGCCGGTCAGCCATGGCTGACCCATTCAGTCAGTGCACCTGGCCGGGGGGGCGCTCGAATATGCATTCGAATATTTTTAGCATTCAAGATTTGTGTTTGCCATTGCCAATGGCTGATAGCCGAGATCTGCTGATGTGATCAGCAGATGCTTCAAATCAGAGGCGGCATCAGCTGCGCGAGCAAACCTCTGAATGAGTGAGTGAGCGAGCGAGCGAGTGAGAGCCGAGATGCTGTCTTATCAGTGACAGACAGACCAATCGCCAGACCAATTTTATCAGCTCTCGCGGTCAGTGGATTGCACTTGCCCTCGGGCATCATGTCTGGCCTATCGCAGTGAACTCTAATTGCGATGACACTGCGCGCTCGCTTTTGCATTCGCATCCATTTCAGATGCCTCGTCTGTCTGATTTGATGCGCCAATGGAGATCCGGTATGCCGTGTGAAACACATCTCAACTAATGAGCTGACAGACGACACCTCAGTTACTTCAGAGTCTTGCACCTCACAAGTGACAAAATATGTTAACCTGACATAAATCTTCCAATTTATTACCAATTAAATTTGGATTGTAGCACACACAACAAACAAGTAAAGCTGATAATTAGAATATACCCTAGAAACGGAAAATAGAGACATTGTGCTGTATGAGTGAATTTAATTGACTTTTTAAAAACAAAATATATTTATACAATTTATGAAAAATGTTAAACTTGCAAATTTAAATTAAAAAAAAAATATATAAAATTTTATTAAAGTTTTTAAAATATTTTAACTATATAATTTTGCAAATATTTTATATATAATTTTTATTCTTTTAAATATATAAATTTTTAATATTCAAAATTTCATTAAATTTATAATTTATACTTTTAAAATTTTTTATTTTTATATATTATATATTTTTTATATAATTTTCATTTTTTTTATTAATATAAAAATTTTTAATATTAAAAATAAAATCTTTTAAGATCTTATAGCTACATATGCCATAGGGATTTGCTTTGTAGCGTTACGTTTTCTGTATAATTCAAGTGAAATCTAATCAAGAAACAGCTCTATTCGATGGAAATTTGAACTTCCTCACTGAGCACGTTAGCTTTGTGTTCATTATTCACTTTCGATTTAATTCACAAAACAAATTTCAGCTTGATTCGTTTTATAGCGTTTGCTCAGCATGAATTTCAAATTAATAAAATTTAATTTGTGCTCTGATAAGTTAGCTGGAAAGCCCATGCTAAGGTGCAGCTGTACCTAATTATAATCTATTTTTAAGTCGAACTATAAGAACTGCTCTAGATGATATGGAATTGTAGAATAATCTGCACTAAATTGTCAAATTTAATTTAAGAGCGAAATTTGCAAAATAATATATGACATATATATCTATGACTCTCATATGCATATCTATAGGCATACGTAGGTATATATATACATAGGTATATATATAGCTATACACATCATTGATTCATCTACTAAAAAGCTGACACCTTGACAAAGTTTCTTAACCCTAATGGAAGCAATTGAGAACCTCTATTTAAACAGACATTAATAAGCATTTCGATGCTGGCTGTACATCTAAATAGAATAGCTATTATAAAGTAGTCACATATCATCTTCAGAAAACAATAACGAATTGATTTATGGCAAAGCCTAAACCAAATCGAATCCGAATTCAATTCCAAGCCCATCAAACCCTTCCTCAAAAGGCAAGAAATATTCACAATGTATGTATTTGTTTTTTTAAGTGCCTAATTAAAATAATAGCGTAATTTATTGTACACATTAGAGTCATATACATTATACAGATATAGATACGATACACACACATATACACATACAACATATGTGACACAGATATATATATATATATATATATATTATATTATATTATTTTATATTATATTATATTATATTATTTGTAGATATATCATATATTATATTTTTGTTGTAGTTCGTTTGTAACGCATCGGAATTTTTGCCAGTCCATTCAAATTTTGTTTGTTAATTGTCTAATCAAGCACATTTATATGAGGAACGAAACTTGAGAGAACATTAATGAATATCTATAGATATACATATATATGTATAGATATTGATATATAGATTTTGTGAATCTTGTTTCGTTAATTGATTTTATATTTGTGACTTTCATTTGGTCATGCATAATTTTGTTTTTGTTTTTTTTTATGACATAGAATTTGGGTTTGTTTTTGAGACTTAAAATGATCACGACCGTTGCTTGACAGACCATATATACGTATATATATATATAGTTAATACACTTGAAAGTTTTTATAACGATTACATAAGTACTTACAACGAGGACCTATCATACATACAATATACAGTATAAGTACATACACATAAGTCTTCCCAGCTCCATTTGTTCTAGACTAAACGCACTCGGAGAGATTTTGCCTGTGAGTTCCCTAGCTAAAAGAAAATTCCATTTTAAGACTAATGCGCCGACTAAGGCCCCTTACAAAACAATATATTGAAGAAGATCAGCGCGCGGTGAGGCCTCTTCAATATCTGCCATTGGGCGGATTCTCCTTGTTCTGCTTCTTGTTCATGTCCACTTGGGCGGTGGCCAGATAATTGGAGCCCTCCAAGTGCAGTGTGCTCTGCCTGTGCGAATTGCGAATCAGGCAGAAGGTGGAGAGCAGCAGCAGCACCAGGCCCAGGGTGCACAGGCCCACGATGAGAACGACGCGAATTTTGGGCGGAACATTCTCGGCGAAGCGCATCATGTCCGTGACCTCGTTGGGCAGCGATTCGATGCCCTCCTCAAACCATAAAATGGGGAAGATAATGTCCGGGAAGTTGGCCACCTGCTTGATGTCGAACACCTGGCTGACGGCCAAGTTGATCTGGATGCGAGCGCTCACACGCAGAGTGGTGCCCGTTGTCTGGAGAAGAAGAGGAAGAAATAGTCGTATTAAGGATCAGCTAGTGGAGCGCAAATTCCATATACTTACGGGCTGCACATCGAAGTAGAACTGATGCTTCTCCTTCATGGGCGGCGAAATGCCTTCGACCTGAGTGCGCAGACTCTCGTCGGCCAAGTAGAAATGCGGGAAGCTCAACATAATGGGCGAGTCTGCAGAAGAGAAGATCGGCTATAGAAATGTGGAGATCTAGTGGACTTGGCTAGTTGGCTTACCGTATTGACACAGCGACACATTGAAGAGGCCATTGGGCGAGCAGGAGGGCTTGCCCGCTGGACAATAGCACATGTTATCCGGATGGCTTTCCACATCGGCGAATACCCATTCGGGCGGTGTGAAACGATAGGCGGGCACATCGTTGGGCGTGTCCACCTCACGCTCAAAGACCAATGGCAGCAGACGACAGAGGTCCTTGTCGTATACCTCGAGCACACGTTCCTTGCTAATGTGCGGCGGAAAGATGGAGCCATCGGTGCCATCCAGACGATTGCAATTGTCCGTGGTCCAGTGCGGCAAATGTGTTTTTCCATTGAACTTGTCAATGATGCCGTATTGCTTGATGTTCTCGGTGCCGGTGTAGACAGTGATGCGATCCGATGAGGTGCCGTTCTTGCCATAGAGCAGACCGAACTCCTCGTAGGGCAGCTTTTGCTCCTTGGGCACGACATCCTTGGCCAGCTTGAGCAGAGGATCCTCATAGCCCCAGAGCAGCTGACCCACAGAGACTTGCACGAACGGCTTGATCTTCAATATATCCATGATGCTGGCCATGGCCAAGCGCAGGAATCTAAAAGAGATCAAAGCAATCCACTTAGAAGTGACATGGAAATGGAGTATTCGAGTTGCTCTCTTACCTGGCGGCATGCTTGCTCTGTGAGGTGGCACTCAACATGGGTATGTTGGGCACAATGACCACGTCGTCTTCGGGACCAGCCGACAGATCTTC